AATTAAAAGATGACTTTTAGAGATGACATACAATGAAAAATGTACTCCGTATGTTTGCTAAATTTTTTGGATTTTGACTATTAAATATGACACACATTATTGTAAGTCATAAATCGTTCAGATCTTAAAAAACATGACATTTTTTATGACACATTTTTTGCAAGTCATAAATTAACGTGTGTTATCGTTTGTGTGTCATTAAAGATATATTTTCTTGTAGTGTCAATAACATCAAAATCCATCACGAATTCAATAAAACCTAATATGAACTTAAACCTTAGAATTTTTGGGATCTTTGAACTCAAGCAAGATTAGTATGCAATAATGGTACCAAATGATAGCATTTTTCGAATAGAAGAATTTTCTATTTCACGGCTTATTCTAAAAACAAAAGGAAATTGCTTAAAAATGAAAAATAAAATTTCTCTTACCTTGGTCATGGGAAGCACAAAATTGAGCTGATAAATGGTTTGATCTCATGAAATTTTAGTTAATTTCATGTTAATTTATCCTTTATTTAAGCTTAAATGGATTTAAAATTCGTTTAATTGAGAAATGATTAATTTACCATTAATGAATAATTATAATTACATCCATACCAAGTCACATAACCCTTATCATCTTTATAAAGTCAAATATGAAAAAAAATAATTCACCCTTAACAACTTTTCCCATACAATGTTTCCAAAATTTCAATCTTGTCATTTTTCATCCAATAGTCCAAATTGAACATGAAAATAAATTCTCAAATCTAATGGTCCATATTATTTCCCATCATTTTAACATGTGGAAATAATATTTCTAAGCTTAATTTATCATCATTCAATTTTTTTTGAAGAAAAAGGGTACCAAGGTCAGACCCGAAAGAATGCCACCTTGAATAGATCTATATAAATATGGAAAGATGAGATGATTATTCTTAAAAGAAACGCCTATTAACAAGGTGACGTGGAGGTACTTAAAGATCATTTGAAGACTTCCCAAAGGTAACTATCATAAAGCGAATACAAGGAAAAGTGGTTGAATTCCATGATAATTGAATTAGAGAAGTCTGTCTAGAGACGTCGACAACAAGAAAATAAAGCCATGAAAAAGTGTACAACAGAGTTAGAAAGCTCCGTGGAAGGATGCAAAAGGAAGACGAGTGAGCTCTAGATAGTCTCCTAAAATAGAGGTCTATATTGGCAGTTTCATTGGGAAGAGGCCCAACGTAAAGTGAAAGTGAGAGATGCAGTTATCCGATAATTCCTAGAGCAAGTTCACAAGACGACTCATCACTTATATGGGTTAGTGAGAGAAGTTGAAGTTGTGAGCCACGGTATTCAACCGATAACCAATGAAGTGAGAAGACTTGTTAACCTATTAAAAGCTGCCAATGGTGTTAGAGTATGCCCAAAGACCAATCATGATATTATTGCAATGATATTTTTTCTTTACCATTTTTATTGAATAAAGGCATAGCCATTATTATTTTCACTTGTATTTCTACGTCTAACATAAACTAAAAGATAATAAAGTTTATATAATAATTTGGTTATTATTAAAGATCCTTTGTCAGTAATTATTATGGGCATGGACAATAATAATGCTTTTAAGGCTAACATGGAGTTAATTGATGATAATGAGTTGTCATTGGCATAGAGATGTCAAAGTCGATACATGAGTATGTTCTTAAAGAACAATATATTGGACTGACCCGCTATGAACATGTTTCTTGGATTATTATGTGAAGGTTACAACATTGCTGATGATGATGATTATATATGATCCTCAGACTTGAGATCATTACTATCTCAACATATATTATTTTATTTTGATATAGTTAAACTTGCTCTGTAACTAGTTGCACTATAAAGACTAATATTGAACATATTACAATATATATGGTGGGGTGTGAATGATCAAGATAGGATTTGTCATTCCTACATAATAGGAAATATATCACAAGCCACTTGATTGAGTGAAACTAGAAATGCATGGCCATGCTCGAATAAGATGATATGAGATATCACATATTATTTTTTTCATTATAGTCTACTCTAGATATTAAGAAATAAAGATGGGCGATACAAGTGTGACTATTCCAAGACTTGTGCCTATTATAAATATAAAGGATAAAAGGATAAAATATATAAAAAGGAGTTAGTCACGAAGTTGTTATGTCAAATCATGGCTTCATGTAACATAGTTGACAATGATATATTTCTAGATGTCACTCTTTGTTTGTAATATTAGAATGGTTCTAATAATTACTACTAATGTTACAGGAACATACAAGGTCACTCCCCAGGGTTAAAAAGATCAGTTTATAAATACATTACAAATTTACAATTTTATTGTACATGGATAAAATTTATAATTAATATTAATATATATTTGATATATATATATGTGTTTTAACACCCTAAACCAGTACGACACGCAGTTGACCGATTAGATTGCCACACACTAGAGTGACTAACCATTTTTTCTTACTTTCTTTATAAATGACCATTTAAAAAAGGAAATCCATTCATAAAATATAAATAAAATTTTACATCAGGAGCTACCAAAATAATTATATCAAAATATACAAATTAGCTTTTCAAAATAATGTATGACTTGAATATACAACTAGAGTCTATAAATATACATGCCCTCTAAGAATATTGTAGACGTACTTTACTCTGCACACGGTCTGGAAACTTGGATACTTGAAATGCTCCTTGACTACTCCACCTTATATGCGTAAGGACACAAATTCCAAACACTTAGCTTACTGGCCTAGTGCCACACTAACAACTACATCATACTAAAAGTGTTCAATAAATGCTCAAGCTATCAAGTCTAATGCATTAGTGAGTATACTTGTATACCCACTCTCTACTTTATGGTATACATCATGGTTCTCATGAGGGTTCTGCATCTCAGAGCTCACGCACTTTTCTAGTCTACCGAGGATAAGGCCCGAAACTCTACATCAGACACAACACCTTCGATTAACCCACCCTTTGCGAGTGTCGGACCTTGCATCCTAGTGAGTCAGTTTAAATTTCCTTGTGCACTACCTAAGGATATTCGAATTGATTTTAAATGTCAATACTAGTATCACTTACTAAAGTAATCTGGGTATCCTGATTGTTTCTCTAGTATTCAAACAAGGCTAGTTTTATGCCATCCTAAAAGATTCTTGTTATAGCTTCAATTGATTATTTTGGTTCCCACTTGAAGGTTTATTTGTCCAAATTCAAGAAAGGGTTTCGAAAGAAACATAAGAGGGTTTAAAAACCTCAACATTTATTTTGAGGTTCAAGCAGGGGGTTTCGAAACCTCCCATAGGGGTTTCAAAACCTCTAAGAAAATTTATATTATGGATAAATGGTTTTGAAACCATTTAGAGCGGGTTTCGAAACCTCTTCTGTAACTTGAAATTTTTGCATGTTAATACACTTCAAAACCTTTATAAAACTATCCTAATATGTCCAAATGATTATTATAAGTTTATATATGAAAGAATGGATCATAAAAGGGTTTAAACAAGTTAAATTACATCAAAGGCTAGAATCTACCATTGATGATCATACATACTTCCCAACTTAAGTTTCTAGATTGAATACATTCTAAAGACTCATAATTGGTATGAAAAAATTGTAAATGTGTTACCTGGTGATTCTAGCTATTGGAACTTCTCTCAAAATCAACCAATGGTTAATTTCTCTTTTCCCCTAGCTTAAGAGCATTCCCCCACTTCATTTTCTAAATTAAAGTAATAAGATGAATTATTAACCTATCTAGGGGTTATATTAGAGTTAAGAACACTCTAAATAACTGAAATTCACTAAAAACTAACTTGGATCACTCAAATATCTTAAACCTTCGAAAAACACATTTTATGAAACCACCACCAACACTTGAGATATGGGGCTTAAATTGTAGCTTGGAGGATAGAGGTTAATATTCTTACCTTTGCTAAAACAATCCAAGCTTGAAACTCTTATAGCTTTCACCTTTGCACTATCCTTAGAGAAGAAGATGATGAAGAAGAGAAGAATAGAAGAGGAAGAGTGTTTGGTAAGCTAATGGGAAATGATTTTTCACATGAGATAACTTAAAATAAAAGGGGTTTTCATATTTTAATTCAAGTCATAGGAATATTGCAGTTTTGGTTCCACTTCATTTAACTCCTAGTAAAATCATCTCAAACCTTAAACTCTTGGGCCCAAATTAAGCCCAATTCCAACTTAATTTGGTCCCAACTATTTTAAAAGGTCAATTGGGCTCAACTCAGGGGTATCGGGTTGACCCAAACTATTTACCCGAGATTTGGGACGTTACATGTGTGTAATTTTAATTATATATAAAAGTGTTGAATTTTATTATAGAATATAATTAGGGTAATTATATTCCTTTTATTAAATTCAAAATAAAACCCTAAGGGTTAGGGAAACACATTATAAATAGAACATATTGGTCTAGTAGCCGCTTAATCATCTTGAATGAAATTTCTCAAAACAGTTTTGAGAAAAAGTGATGTAAGGCGTTTCTATCTTATCGATTGATTGTGGATCTAGGAAGGAAGCAAAACAACCTGCATAAGATAACGGTGTAAATGGATGGTTAAAAGTGATAAATGTGATGGTAAAATGGTCGGTTTAGGGATGGTAGTGGAAGACGTTTGGTTGTGGATATGATATGGTTAACAAGATAATGGAATGGTGAAAATGGTAGTATCTTAAGGAAGACTCAAAGAAGAACCAATGTTAAAGAACAAAGACCCATACTTTATATTGCTTCAATAAGGGATGGTAAACAAGAAATGGATAGTATCTTAGAATAACCAAGGAAGAACCAGGGCTATAAAGAGCAAAGACCCAGTCTTACAAATCGTTATAAGGGATGGTAAATAGGACTTTGACCCGCTATCTATAAAGAGATATGAACCACAAGTATCAAGGTGAAAACGAATGACGCCATAAGTAACAAGTTACTTGATAAGTCGATAAAATTCACAAAGGACTCAATAAGAGAAAAATATCAAGTTTAATTCAAATTCAAATGTTATCTTACAATGTAATATGAAAGTCCACTTTATAGGACTTGAAATGCATGGCTGAATTTTACAATATGCATGGCTGAATTTTACAATATGCATGGCCGAAGGTTCTAATGTATTTTTGGCCGAATAGTGCGTGTTGAGGTTTCTAGCTTTGGCACATAATTTAATCATAATTTTTAGCACATTTTCATGCATATATTCGGTCAATGGTAGGGAGAGAAGTGCTTTGGCAGAATTTCCTTCAAGGAATGTGTAGTGTAGACAAAACCAAGTGGAGACAAGCAATCTTCCATGCACATGGGTTGTTCCCATAGTGCAATTATATATATATAATTTGCAGCAGCTAGTGGCGTGACTTTGTCCTCATCTCATGCTTGATTAAGTGGGGATTATTTATCAAAGACAAAAGTTGGTGGATATGGTTCACTTTCAACCGAATTTAAACAACTCTTAGTGCCCACGTTCTGCCATAATTTGCTGAATGGTTTGGTGAGTTGTTCTTGTTCCCTTAATGCTCAACAAGTTTCCCTTCATGCTCCATTAACCATACTGTCGTGTTATAATCTGGATATATCTCCTCAAGTGCTTCAACATGCTGCCAAACAAGTGCCATATTCTAATAACCCTTTTTGACGTGTTCTATGAGCTGAAAATGTCTTGGAAATGCTCCACTAAACCGTCCATCATGGGGCTTATGCTCATTGTTCCTACATGTGCAAGAATAACAAGTATTATAATGATAGTGGGCTGTTATAAACAATATTCTTGCTACCATGTATGTCCTTGTGCTTTGTGAACCTTTGTTTCAATGTTCTTTATTAAACAGCACGTGAAAACCTAAGTACTTAAATGAGCTAAATGAATTATATGTATGCTTATTAAAATATGCAAAGATGAATGCAAATGCACGGCACAAATGATATATGAATGCAGAATAACACGTGAAAATTATGAGTGTTAAGATAAAAGCAATAAGTTACACGAATGCATGAATGCTAATATTATAAATGCTAATGCAAACCAATTTAATTGAAAATAAAAAGATGCACGTGGTGATGATAAGTATGCTATATGATGCCCATGCAAACTTAACGTGAAATAATTAATATGCATGTATGAAAAACATGAATGATATGCAAAACTTATCCTAACATACTTATATTGTGCAACGAATATCATTTAGCATGGTATTCATAATAAATGATAAATGGAAACATGTAATAGTAATATCATAAGAAATGATATGTAACCATAGCATATATTTCAATGTTATGAATAGCATGATCATCTTAGCATAGAATAATAATATGATAGATAACATGTAAGTGTATGCTCATGATGGAATAAAATGCATTAAGGATATAACATGAGATAAGATAAGGGAGAACCTCCTTAGGAAGGGCAATGAAAAACGTCCATGGAATAATCAAGTCATGAAGGAAGTTTGAGCTAGTTTGGAACGTGTCATCCTTCCATTCTTTAGAGCGATTTGTCCTCAAATCGAAGTAGTTTCTCATTGGGGGACTTTCTTGGTGTATGAAGGATTGAATCCTCATGCTCTTCTCCAATAGATGATTCACACGAAATGTTCAACCTCTTGGCTTCAATTATGGTAACTTCATGTCTCCTTGAATCATCATGATGGTTGGTAAAGAATTTTGACTTCTGATCGCCATTGTGTTGGACGATTTTTATGTACCAATCAAACTTAAAATGACAAATGATCTTGCCATCATAGATTGTTAGAATAACACCATTTACATAAATCAATTTGCTATAAAATGAAGCAGAGTTAGTAAATGAAAAACTATAAACAAGATGAATGGAAATAGCAAACCAAGGTGGATGTTTAATTGGAGTTGGTCGCTGAATTCTTTTAATAATTGGCAATGCACTTGGGATATCAATGATTCCATTCCTTGGCACTTCAAGTGACGTCCTTATTTGGAACTTCAATGGTATAACCCTCAAAACATCAAGAGACATGTCTTTTGAATCACAAAGAGTCACGCCTATTGGTTCTTTAAAGGTCACATCCTTTAGTCCTCCATAATTCATGATTCTTGAATTATCCTCCCGAGAAGATACATCTCTTGGATTTTCCTGCAAAACAATAGGAAGAATAGATGAAAGAGAAAGGATAGTTAAAACATGTTCTTCACTTTGTTTCTCTTCTCTACACTCATCAATTCTAACTTTTGTCATATCAATCTAATTTTCCAGTTGTTCAACTTGTTTCTCTTGGAAGACTTATTTTTCAGCTTTCGTCATGACTTTAGTTGTCTTCCATTCTTCTATGTGTGATTTAAGGACCTCTTGGCATTCTTGGACTTGATTTGGAAGCATAGGCGCCAATATGATCTTCTTTCCTTGATGTTGGAAAGAATACTTGTTGGAAAATCCATCATAAGTAGCATTCTTGTCAAATTGCCAAGGACGTCCCAATATCATATGGCTTGCATTCATGGGTACCACGTCACAAAGAACTTCATCATTGTATTTTTCAATTGAGAAAGGGATAATAACTTGCTCGATTACCTTGGCTTCCCTTACGTCATTGAACCACTGAAGTTTGTAAGGTTGAGGATGTTTGGAAGTCTTTAGGCCCAACTTTTCTACCATGTAAGTGCTTGCTATATTTGTACAACTACCTCCATCAATGATTACTATAATAAATTTATCTCCCACGTGACATTTTGTATGGAAGATATTATCTCTTTGTTCATCTTCTTGGCTTTGAATGTTCAAATTCCTTTTGAGTAAAAAGATATTTGATGGAAAAGACATGTTAGCAAAATAAGAAAGAAAAAAATGAAATGTGTAAAGGACCTTACCAAATAATGCTCTCATAAAGCCTCACGCGTTCACTCCAAGGAAACTTGAATGTCACTCAATCCGCTCATGTCTGCACTCGGGAATATAATTTGGCTTTTGCAATTCCCCTTCTGATATTACACACTCGATTAGCCTTTTTCCGCTCAATTCTCTTTATTTCAAGTCCTAAGATGACTTTACTCAAAAACAATATCAAGTAAATTTTACCTGATGTGCGTCGGCTGCAAAAAGGGTTAGTAGCAATGGAAAAACTAATAATATTGAAAAGGGTGGATTAAAAATAGAAAGAAATAATAAGAAGGGTAACTTGCACAAAGTTACTTCACAACCTTTCTATCACCACAATCAATCAAGGCTTACTTGAGTGGCTTGGTGATCAATCTTGTTGTTGAGTATTTTAATCTTCTTTTGCTGATTTTCGAATTTCTTTTGCACTTGTAATTCACTTGTCCTTTTTTTGTATTTTTTTATTGTACATTGCTTCTTCCACCAAATCTCTGATTATCGCTTGATGTAAGGCGTTTCTACCTTATCGATTGATTATGGATCTAGGAAGGAAACAAAACAACCTGCATAAGATAACGGTGTAAATGGATGGTTAAAAGTGATAAACGTGATGGTAAAATGGTCGGTATAGGGATGGTAGCAGAAGACGTTTGGTTGTGGATGAGATATGGTTAACGAGATAATGGAATGGTGAAAATGGTAATATCTTAAGGAAGACTCAAAGAAGAACCAATGTTAAAGAACAAAGACCGAGACTTTATATTGCTTCAATAAGAGGTGGTAAACAAGGAATGGATAGTATCTTAGAATAACCAAGGAAGAACCAGTGCTATAAAGAGCAAAGACCCATCCTTACAAATTGTTATAAGGGATGGTAAATAGGACTTTGACCCGCTATCTATAAAGTGATAGGAACCACAAGTATCAAGGTGAAAATGAATGACGCCACAAGTAACAAGTTACTTGATAAGTCGATAAAAGTCACAAAGGACTCAATAAGAGAAAACTCTCAAGTTTAATTCAAATTCAATGTTATCTTACAATGTAATATGAAAGACTATTTTTATAGGACTTGAAATGTATGGCTGAATTTTGGCTGAATGGTGCGTGTTGAGGTGTCTAGCTTTGGTACATAATTTTGAGCACAATTTCATGCATATATTCGGTCAGTGGTAGGGAGAGAAGTGCTTTGGCCGAATTTCCTTCAAGGGATGTGTAGTGTAGACAAAACCAAGTGGAGACAAGCAATCTTCCATGCACATGGGTTGTTCCCTTAGTGCAATTGTATATATATGATTTGCAGCAGCTAGTGGCGTGACTTTGTCCTCATCTCATGCTTGATTAAGTGGGAATTATTTATCAAAGACAAAAGTTGGAGTATATGGTTCACTTTCAACCGAATTTAAACAACTCTTAGTGCCCACGTTCTGCCATAATTTGCTGAATGGTTTGGTGAGTTGTTCTTTGTTCCCTTAATGCTCAACAAGTTGCCCTTCATGCTCCATTAACCATACTGTTGTGTTATAATCTGGATATATCTCCTCAAGTGCTTCAACATGCTGCCAAACAAGTGCCATATTCTAATAACCCTTATTGACGTGTTCTATGAGCTGGAAATGTCTTGGAAATGCTCCACTAAACCGTCCATCATGGGGCTTATGCTCATTGTTCCTACATGTGCAAGAATAACAAGTATTATAATGATAGTGGGCTGTTATAAACAATATTCCTGCTGCCATATATGTCCTTGTGCTTTGTGAACCTTTGTTTCAATGTTCTTTATTAAACAGCACGTGAAAACCTAAGTACTTAAATGAGCTAAATGAATGATATGTATGCTTATTAAAATATGCAAAGATGATTGCAAATGCACGGCACAAATGATATATGAAAGCAGAATAACACGTGAAAATTATGAGTGTTACGATAAAAGCAATAAGTTACACGAATGCATGAATGCTAATATTATAAATGCTAATGCAAACCAATTTAATTGAAAATAACAAGATGCACGTGGTGATGATAAGTATGCTATATGATGCCCATGCAAACTTAACGTGAATTAATTAATATGCATGAATGAAAAACATGAATGATATGCAAAACTTATCCTAACATGCTGATATTGTGCAACGAATATCATTTAGCATGGTGTTCATAATAAATGATGAATGGAAACATGTAATAGTAATATCCTAAGAAATGATATGTAATCATAGCATATATTTCAATGTTATAAATAGAATGATCATCTAAGCATAAGATAATAATATGATAGCTAACATGTAAGTGCATGCCCATGATGGAATAAAATGCATTAAGGATATAACATGAGATAGGATAAGGGAGAACTCCCTTAGGAATGGCAATAAAAAACGTCCATGGAATAATCAAGTCATGAAGGAAGTTGAGCTAGTTTGGATCGTGTCAAAAAGAAATTGCACTTAAGTACTCTCAACCAGATGAACTGAGTAGAGGTCGAGATTGTTTTATGGAGACTTGTGATTCGAACTACTCGTGACTGCTGTTGTCTTGATTTTTGTGAAATTTTGTATCTCTTCCCCTAGATTTCGTTTTTCATACATGGATCACTGTTGAGACCGTTAGATTATTTTTCTACATGCCATAGGGTGTATCAGTGGTCCCAACAGTGGTATCAAAGCCACTTGTACGATCTAGAATCGAGTTAAATACTTGGTTGATGCGATATGTGTGAGATTCATTGTTGATTTATTGTTTTCGAAGAGTATGTAATACGTATGCGTTCGATTCAATGGCTATCGCGATTAATATATTAATCTGGTTAAACAAGTTATTACAATCGTTGATTAAACGTTATATATTTATTGTTGTATGATTTTGATGTTCTTATGTTAATTGTTAACATGATGAACAGTGGCTATGTGATAACAAATTTCTTCTTGCAGAGGAACAATTTCGGGATTGAAAATCCCAAAAAACACAATTCTATTGATAAAATTTATCAAATCATGAGGTTTTCCCATAGAAAAATGAGTACTATTTTTCAAAAAATCCCACCAACATCCCCTCTGCGCGGCCGACACTCGTTGAGGGCTTCACCCTTGGATCCTGCAAGAGGCTTCACCTCTTGACCCCTTCATTAGCAACAAATGTTGTAGGCCCATATCCGTAATTATTAATAAATTTGTAATGAAATATGTATGATATGTTTAATATGCATGGTGTTTGACATGCTTGATTATAGCCCGTTATTTTACAATAGTTGTAATTTTATAAATACGACATGCATGTCATGCCTTTCTATACTTCTGTTGCATTCCTCTTCTCATCTCACTCACTGGTATGTAAAACGAGTTTCTAAAGTTGTAATATTATGAAGATTTGAAGAAACAAAAAGTTTGGTCAATTAAAGCGAGAAGATTTTCGATAATGAGTCTTTGCTTTAGTTATTAGTTCTTCCATTGGCTTGGGATGGGCCACTTTTAGTTTGTTTTTGGGCTATAACCATTGCATTTTATTTATTTTTTTATATCTATCATGTATGTGATGCAACAAATGGCATATTAGCATGCTAATAAGTTGATAATATCAATAAGGGCCTAAAATTGATAATAACAAAATGAGTTAAATGATGAGACCACCTTGAAAATCACTATTTAAACCGAAGTTAATATAACTATCCAATATTTAACCTCGTTAAGACCTCAAAGAATTCATGTGGATTTCGCGGATTAGAAACCTAGAGGCTAGGCATTTGATAAATCATATGATAATTTAAACAAGAGTTATTCATCAAATGATGAAATTACATAAGGTGTAATTAGTAGTGTTTCTTACTTAAATAATCATTCTCCCAAGAGAAGAGCCAAAGCTGACTTGAGAAGGGGTGAAATATGGATCCTTACTCACTAGAAAAACTTTTGAAAAGTTAAAATAGTGGGAGTAGTTTATTAATAAAGTTATATATTATAAATTTTAAACTTGGTAAACTTACATTGTATATTTTCGTTGTTGTAAACTTAATGGAAAACAACACATTTTCATTGCGATCGATCCTTAAAAGAATAAGCTTAATGGCTTAAACTTCTTTGACTGGTTCTATAATTTGAGAATTGTTCTTAAACAGGAAATGAATGAATATGTCATTGAAGAACTCGTTCCTGATAAACCAACAGCTAATGATCCTAGAGCTGACAAAGACAAGTTTAAGAAACACATGGATAACAAGTTAGATGTGGGATATCTTATGCTTGCCACCATGACCCCTGAGCTTCAAAAGTAACATGAGGACATGGTTACATATGAGATGATTCAAAATATCAAGGAATTATAATGATGACTCTAAATATCTATTTCAAAGTAAAATAAGTGAAGGATCTCCTGTAGGAGCTCACATTATCAAGATAATAGGATATATCCAAACGTTAGATAAGTTGGGATTTCAACTCAATGATGAATTGACCACTAATGTCATCCTGCGATCATTTTCAGACAGCTTCAACCAATTTTTCCTTAATTTCAATATTAATGAAATTAACCACGTCATAAACTGTTTTATTTGTTGTTGGAAATGCTTGGACGATACTTTATTTTACTGTTAATGAATGATTAAGTATGCTTTTGTTAAATGTTGTTTTGTTCATTGTTTTAATCTTTTGCCTTCACACTATAAGAGCTTTTGAAATATTGTATGGTGCCTTGGAAAAACATTCCTAGTATTTGTAAGATCTTTTGAAATATTTTCATTTTCTAGGAGTTAATACCTAATATTCGAAAGAGTTAGGTTAGATTTACGTGAACAAGGGATCTGATCCAGGATGGTGAGGTTCTAATCAACCTTAGAGATAAGGAGAGGGTTTCATTCGACTAAGAAGGATAAATGCTTGAGTAGATAGGGTAGCACTATATTTTACGCTGAAGGGTATTATCGCAACAACAATTCGACAAACCAATGGTTGTAGTTTACGCTGAGTAGTATTGTCGTAGCAATAGTCTGTCAGGTTCTGTGTTAGAGATACTCTTAGGAACACTTTAGTACATCCTGTCGGGAATATAGACATAGTGTACTCTTAGACATAGAATAATTTCTCGCCGTAGTAAATCCAGCCCAAGTGCTCTATTAAAAGTCTGATTGTGTGAGGTTGTCAGTCTATTTGCAGACTTTTGACAACTTTAGCCTTAGTAACTTTTGTTTATTTACTATCGCATATTTTTCTTGCTACGACAAAATTTTATCTGCTTAATTTACTTCACATTTTTCTTGTCTCGGTAAACTTTTTCCATATGTTCATACCATTTGTCACTGCATATTTTCCTTGTTTATATCATTAGATTTAGATACTTAGGATTAGTTAATGACACATATTCCTAGTTGTAGCAATCTTTTAAAAGCCCTTCAATCCTTGTGGAGACGATACTCACTCACTACTATATTACTTGCATCGATTGTGTATACTTACATAGATTTACCTGCCACAACACACACATTTACACGCGATCAATTATTTTCGTAAAAATCCATTACTTAAAAGAAATTGTAATATAATCATATAAATTTTTAAAAAATATATACACTATTTGTTCTACTAAAATTTTTTATTTTAAAAAATTTTATTATTTAAAATATTTATGATGAAAAATTAAGAAAAAAATCACCAAAAACATCTTTAAAATATTTTTACAGTAGTCAAAATTTTCTAAACGATATATTTATTTATTTTATGATATGCATGTGTAGACCCGGTAAACTTGACTCAAATTCGATTACTCGACCCAATACTCGATATTAACCAGAACATGATAATCAAATTTGATTTGATACCCGATCCAAAATTTAGCAAAATCGAATGCAACTTGAACTAAAAGCAACTCAAACCGAAATTAACCCGGACTGAATGCAACTCAAACTGAAATTGACTTGAATTGATAGCAACCTGAATCGAAATTAACCCAAACCAAAATAAATCCAAATCGAATTTTAACCCGATCTGAAAGCAACCAAACCTGAAAGAAATTCGAACGAAAATTAATCCGAAATAAAAGTAAGAATCTTATTGTAAAATTGAAAACAATAACAAATAAAGTTTATTTATCTTACTTGTAATAAAAAGGCAAAATAGTAGCTTTTACCCCTATAGTAGACCTAATTTATCACTTTCACCTTAATCGTATTTTCACATCATTTTAACCATTGAAGTTGCTCAATTGTATCATTCTATACCATGTCCTTAACTTAAAACCTTAAATCTTAAACCATAATCACATATCCTCTAGACCCTAAATTCTAATTCAAGGTTTATAATTTAAAGTTTTAAGTTAGGGATAATGTATAAAATGATTCATTTAAACAACTTTAAGGCCTAAATTGATGCGAAAATATAATATGGACAAAAATGATAAATTTGGTCTATTACAAGGATAAATGTGACCCTTAAGCCTAATAAAAATATTAGATTTATAATAAAAATAATAGAAAGTTTACTTATGTCTTATGTTATTACATAAAAGGAATATAAAAGTAAGAACATTATTGTAAGATTGAAAAAGGAAACAAATAAAGTTTACTTATCTTGCTTGTAATAAAAATATTAGATTTATAATAAAATTAATAGAAAACAATTAAAACAAAGAAAATAATATTAGATTTGTAATAAAAATAATATATAGTTTATTTATATTACGTCTAAAACTTAACAAATAAAATTATGTAATTTTTTTAAAAAAATTTAATGAAAATATTAAATTTATAATTGAAAATAATTTTTTAATAAAAATATTATTTCTTTATCAAATAGATAAATTTTCCATACAAGACCAATATAAAATTTTGATAACAAACTCTAACACGCATTATAGGATCGTATTTGTGTCAAATTATCGATTTATCATCTCTAAATGATGATTTAATTCAAAATATTGAACGATTGAGAATTGAAATTAAGACTAAATGAAAATATTAACAAATAAGAAGAGATTTTTTTTTAGAATATATCAATAATTTTATATATATTTGATTAAACTTATAACCAATTCAACCCGAATTGACATTATCTAAAGGTTGACCCAAACTGAAAATCAATCGATTCGATATTGACCCAATCCGATATTGACCCAACCTAAAAATAAATCGATATGATATTGATCCGAACTGAAAAAACAACTTATTCGATAATCACCCGACCCAAAAATTGACCCGACCCGAGCTACCGTACACCCAAACTAGATTTGAAGGAAATCCAATTAAATTCAAACAAAATTAAACTGAATATAATCTAGACTCTTTTTAAATTTAGCATGGACTTACGTTTCTATCTATATGCAGAGATTTTTACGCAGGGATTTATTTGCAGGGATTACTTCCCATTATAGACGCGCATATGTAGACTGCATATGAAGACTGTTCAACTATGTATTTATTTATTTATTTATACATGCATTGTATTTTATATTTATTTTTTAATTTTCTGACTGTTGAAAGTCTTCTACAGAAGCTGCTCTCAACCTGACGTTGGGGTCAACCTACTATCCTAACTTCCCTTACCCCATTGCATATGAAAATATGGTTTTGTTGTTTTGTAAACTCAATCCGAATGACGCATTTGCCACTCATGTGTTAAGATAAATATCGCCTTCCTTTCTTTTCAATCCCTCTATACATTTAGGGATGGTAAAAAAATCCGAACCTAACGGGAAAAACCAAAAACCGAATTAAACGGGGACGAAGAAAAACCATTTATGCTAAACGGGGACGGGAACAGGGAAAAACCATTTATGCTAAATGGGGACGGGGACGGGGATGGGTTTGGTAATCCCCGCCCCGATTACCGGACCCGATACCCGGCCTGATAAATATTAAAAATAATTATTATATATATATATAATATTAATAAATTTAATTTAAATTAAATATATATAATATTTATATATTTAATTTAAATATATATATATATATACCCGGCCCGATACCCGGTCCGATACCCGTTTAAATAACCGTTTATAGCTAAACGGGGATACCCGTTTCCCCGCGGTTTTCTGCGATTACCCGATGGGAATCCCCGTTTAAATCCCAACGATTTTTTAAGCGGAAACGGGTACAGATTTTTTAAACGGAGACGGAAACGGGAATCAATATCTGGCCCGAACCCAGCCCGTTGCCATCCCTATATACATTTGGGTCTGCACTACCACTTCAATAGGAAGCGGAGAGGAAAAAAAAAGATAAAAGCGTCGTGGTTTACGTGCTCCTTCTTCTTCTTATCTGAACATCCTCATTTTCTTATCCAGATAAATCTGCTATCTTTCCTTTCATTTTACTTTCAAGTACACTGATCTGTGGATTCTGATGTTTTCACGATGGTGGAATTGAGATCTAGAATTCTAAAGGCTTTTATAGACTTAGAGTTAGCTTAATCTGCTTCTCTTTGGATCTGGATTTTTACTTTTCTAGTTAGCTTGATCTGCTTTCTATAGTTCTCGTGAGAACTTTTTTTTTACTTTATTTTGAAATTGATCTTCCTATTTTTTCTTTATTATAGATTAATGCTTTTATTCTGTGAATTTAATGCTTCTCCAAAGCTTTAGCGTAAGAAAAGGCTCTAATCTTGATCTTTGTTTCAATATGTTGTTCATCGAGTCATAGAGTATAGCTCGCTTATATGCTCCTGAAATGAATGTTGCCTACCATTTCAATTGATTGTACTTGGTTGCGCAACTGCGGTGTATTTTCTGTATTTGAAGAGATGAATGCGGGCGTAAGCGTCTCTGGCTCTTTTTTAAAAGAGAAAACATGACTTGATTTGCTGAAGACTTTAATTTTTAATTGTTTAGATTATTTGAAGGGCCTTAGATTCCCGGTTGACAAATTATTTTGTTATACTCACTATCTCAGTTATTTTTGTAGTATTGGAAAAGATGGCCGATACTGAGGATATTCAACCCCTCGTCTGGGACAATGGAACCGGAATGGTGAAAGTCAGTTGATTCTGTAATCCCCAGACTGATACAGGTAACCTGATCCGATCCGGGAAGTCACATTAGGGCCACCGAAGCGACTCACTGTAAAAATAGCGGAAAATTTAAAACTTTTTATCAGAACATGTAAACTTATAAAATCATTTGTCACTATTTAAAAATAAAACAGATTTTCAGACTCGTATATAAAACAAAATACAATTACATGCCCCCTAATCAAATGTATCATTCTCTGGAAACATCGCCGGAAGAATTCCTTTACTGATGTCGATAACTGCACTGGTACAATTCTTTTAACCTGCAATTGTGAGTAATAGAGTGAGCTTCGGAAAGCTCAATAATACAGATCTACCAGATGATGCTGAAGAACGTGCAGATACAGATAAAACATGTTTTCTTTATTGGTTCAGATATTTACAGATCTTTATGTTGAGCTGAGGTCCATTGATATCGTATGTAGTAACAAATAGTATTCATTTCAGATGAAAATATTTCGGATGTCTAGGTCCAGGAGATCAGAACAGGTTTTCTAGTGTGTTCTCAAAAATCATGTAACTTTTCAGATCTTTTTAAAACATATATATATATACCCTCATCCGTCAAGTCCAAAATGTGTAGGTTCCCCAGAACCATATACCCACCATCAAGTCCAGTAGGCCCTGAGCACACAGCCGAGGAGCCGGTAAGTAAGGCCCTGAGCACACAGCCGAGGAGCCTCCAGGTATACTTCCTCCAACATTACCCCCCAAGTAAAACATGTTCCTTCCGTAAACGGATATATAAAAAAAATCATAACATAATCCAAGTCAAGTATCAGATCAAAATCCAGGTCAAGTATTCAATCAGAATCCAGGTCAAGTATCCGATCAGAATCCAGGTCAGGTATTATAATAGAAATCAAATCGGAAATCAGGTAAAATATCCAGGTGATTAGGGAACACACTAGAGTTTACAGAAATTATTCAGAGGTACTGGATAATCTTAACAGGTATAGGAACATAGATCTTCAGTATACCGATAGAATATCGGAATTCAGAATCACTGTTGGAAGAGTTCAATAACTGACAAAATTATTAATTATTCAGAATATGACTTGAGCTGGTAAGGAAGAAATGAAGGTTCAGGACATTTACAATCTATGTCGATTGATCAGATTATCAAACAACTCTTAGATGAATAGCTCCCAAAACTAATGCTTGTCGATTGATCAATTCATTGTTCTTCCATGGTATTTACTCTTAAATACCACAAATTCTTGTCCATCAGTCATTTTCAAAATCATCGCTGAATAGATCTTCCAATGTCTTCATTTCATTTCCACGCTTCCACAATATCATGTAATACTGACGTACTTGATTATTTTAATCATAAACCATCGTAATTGCACACTATGTAAACTCATCAGAGTTTCCAGACTTATCCAAATCACTTACTAAATCCTCATTCATTGAGGTTACCTAATTCATTTAGCAGTCATGTCCATTCTAGTAATATTCGGGGGGTTTTAGGGTAATCCAGACGTTTTTGAATTTCGGATACATACTGTACTTTCGTTTAATTCAAATTTGGTCTTCGTGGTTGATTTGTCTAACAAATATCAAATTCTTACTGTTGAATGCGATCTAGAGTTGAGCTGAGCTAAATACTTCCAAAATTATCATCGAGCCAAATTTGAGAATACAAACACGCATTCAAGTGACATCTATGTCGTTCAGGTACTGATATAACACTAGCATTGGTTGCTCGGCTTAATATGTGATATGTAACTTTTAAGAGCAGTACCACATCCATGTTTATTTGGGTTCCTTAATTAACCCAAGACATTTCCTTAGTATAGGCCATAAGGGTATTTTGGTCATTTTGGTGTTCAGTTTATTCCAATCATTATAGAGCTCAAGCATATCCAATCATTTCTGAGCTTGGTGATATTCTTGGGTTATTTCCATTACAGGGGTATTTTTGGTCATTTTACAGATTCAGTGCACTTTAATCCTTTCCTTCCGTCTGATCTTACTATTAATTTCAATCTTATCATTTATTTCAGTCATTTCGAACAATTCTGACAACAAAACACCCCCGACAAATTGTTCTTCAGGTATTTACTCATAGCTCGGATATTTCCGGGTCAAGTGCCTTCTCAGATTTTACAAACGAAATATCAAGAATTTTCCTGCACTAAGTCAGGATCTTAACAATTAAATCATTACTTAATCGAGTTAAGTACGAATCCTCTAAGTATTTTCTCATTCAGAGTCAACTCAGACTATTATACCTCTTAAGGGCATTTCCGTAATTTCTTAACCAGATAATTTTTGGTATTACCTCTTAACGAAAATAATTATAATTTAGAGATCCTATGATCAAATGCTTTTCCCGAACATTCTCTTATCTTGAAATGATTCCCTTAACAGATTTCTAGTATCTTTCACAAACCCTCATAAGACTAAAAACTGGTTATCCGCATTTCCTAAGCAAAACTAGCATTTCTTATGCACATCAATAATTTTTACCGGATCAATATGTATTTTCAGAGTTATTAACCAACTTCCATGGACAATTCTTGTCATCTTACAACATGAGGGTATTTTCATAATTTTACCCTACCAGATTATTCTCATAATTTCACATCCAAGTACCTTTAACATATTACATTTGATGAAATAAATTATAAAATACAGATCCAGGTTAATTTCTTTACTACCAAACACAGAACTTGAAATTTAATTCTAACAACCATTCAATCTCTTATATTAATCATTCGATCTGTATTCAGATACTGAATTTCTACCACATTCATATCGAGTGTATAAATTAATCAACTCCATAAAAGTGACTAACATTATCTCATTCATGCATTTACCAATATCATCATATTTCATAAAGCATAAAGAGATAGTAATGTATTACCTCGATTTCTGTGCAATACTGATCGACCATAAAATTCCATTTGAATGCCTTTGATCTTCAATTCAACTTCCAATAATTCCTCAGATACATATCAACATAAATTATATCAGAAACGGAGCTTAATTGCGATAAACGGATTGAATCGGGTAATAAATCAGTGAAAAATAGCTTACCGGGTTCGAATTTGGCAAAATAGACTTCGGATTCAGATTCAAGACGTCGAAATCATAAAATATAACTTTTCAAAAATTTGGAATTTTCGGTCAAAATCAAAGTCAACGGGTTTGACCGAAAAATTTTGAGGCATTCGGGTTCGAATTTTAAAAAACATACTGCAGAATCGGATTTGGAACGTCGAAAAATGTTAGGATAGGTATACTGGGTCAAAGTCAAAGGTCGTTTAATGCCCGGTCAAAGCCGATCAAAGTTTTGGTCAACAGTGGTCAACGCCGGTCAACGGTCAACGGGTCGGGTCAACGGGTCAGGTCGGGTCAACGGGTCGGGTTGGGTCAACAGGTCGGGTAAACGGGTCGGGTTATGACAGGTCAAACCGATCAAAATAGTTCCAAAACCGGTCAAACCGGTCACTTTTGACTTCCCCACGCGCGGGGGCACGTGAACAGTGCCCTGATATTAGAAAATTCCCGAAAAAATTCCTAAAAATTATTTTAAGCGATTTCGAGATACTTACAAAGCTCGGTTCAAATTTTTGAACGGCGGAGAGCTCGATTTCAACGGATCGGAAACTTTGACCGCTTCACCTCTACACGCGCCGTCATCGACGGAGACCAAGGATGACACCGGCAGACTCGGAAAGATGCAAGGAACACGATGGTGCGAGAGGTGTCATAAACGGATGCTCGGATCGTCGTGAATCGACGAAAAACCAATTGAAATCGAGTTATTACCGACGATACTTCCGACTGAAATTAACGACGAATGACGACGATTCACGACAAAAGGTTTGAGGGGTTTTGTTCCTCGCTCGACAACGAACACGATGGTGGTTTCGGCTTGTCGATCGGAGGTCAGACGACGAGTAGATCAGAGTTGAAAGTTGGGTCAACGGAAGAAAAAAACTGAGAAAAATATGCAACCTGCGCACGGGATAGAGGTTTATAATTCGACATATAAAAAAATGGTTAAATTATAGGTTTAGCCACTGAATTTCCTATTCTTCTTAAACCAGTCTGCAAACTTTAAAATTTTATAATTTAATCCCCACTTTCTTCAAAAAATACAAATTAAATTCACCACTTTATAATTTCTTAAATATAGCCCTTAAATTGGGGTGTTACATATTCATAGATCTGAGTTGTGTTCTCCATTATTGCCTATTTCATTATGGAGATTCTGCTACTTTGTTGTGGTTGATATGACTATGTTTATCACGCAGGCTGGTTTTGCTGGTGATGATGCTCCCAGGGCAGTTTTTCCCAGTATTGTCGGTCCACCCCGACACACTGGGGCCATGGTTGGGATGGGTCAGATGCCTGTGTAGGAGATGAAGCACAATCTAAAAGAGGTATTATTACTTTGAAATATCCCATTGAGCATGTATTGTCAGCAACTGGGATGATATGGAAAAGATCTGGCATCATACATTCTACAATGAGCTTCGTGTTGCTCCTGAGGAGCATCCTATGCTTCTCACGGAGGCACCTCTCAATCCCAAAACCAATAGAGAAAAGATGACTCAGATCATGTTTGAGACCTTCAATGTACCTGCCATGTATGTTGCTATCCAGGCTGTTCTCTCATTGTATGCCAGTGGTCGTACAACAGGTTTGTTCAAATAAAGACCTTACTAATTTTCACACTTTTTTTTACTGATTATTCATAATCAAGCTGAGACCTTGGAACAGGTTGAGACCTTCAATGTACCTGCCATGTATGTTGCTATCCAGGCTGTTCTCTCATTGTATGCCAGTGGTCGTACAACAGGTTTGTTCAAATAAAGACCTTACTAAGTTTCACACTTTTTTTTACTGATTATTCATAATCAAGCTGAGACCTTTGTCGTAACCGGTTTTCGTCCGGGCGCGAAATATTTATTTTTGGCAGGGAAATTGATGTGAATAAATAATTTTGAAAATAATTTGGGAGTCGCCATCGTCCTTTTGGGTTAGGTAGGTCGAATACCTAAAAATTATCTTTTAAATGAGTTTTAAGAAAACACCAATTAAAAAATGAGCTGATCTGCGTTTATAACCAAAAATTCGTTCTTTTTAATAAAAAGGGATTCGTGGTCGGTTACGTTTAGGGAAGGATTAGCACCCCTACAACGCCCAAAATTGGTACTTTTTAATTATAAATTGTCTCTATTATTAAAATTTAAAATTTCAAAAAAATATATTTAATTTATAATTTTATTATTTCAAAATTATAAAAAAAATATTTATTTATTTAAAAATATCCGAAAAGAACTTCTAGGTGCCTTAAGACAGCTCTTTTCTTTGATATTGATAAATATTAATTTTAAATAATATTGTTTACTTTTTAATTTTAAAATATCAGAATAGGACATCCAGTTGTATTAAGACTGTCCTTTTCTTCGATATAAATATTTAAAAATACTATTTATTATATATTTATGAATATAAAAATATTTAACAATATAATAAAATAAAAATACTACTAAAACAATATATTTAAAAACAATAAAATAAATTAAAACATATAAAATAAATGACTAAATTACAGTAAAAATAAAATTAAATCTAATTCATAAATAATCAAAACTATAGGGATTAAATATGTTATTTCTTTATTTTATTTATTTGGTGACTAAAATAAAATTATCAAAAATTCGGATATTAGATTCAAATAAGTTAAAAATATAAACTAGGGATTAAAATATTATTTATTAAAATTAATGGATCAAATCTGTAATTTATCCTAAATATATTATTTTAATATGAGGGACTAAAATAAAAGAAATTAAAATTCGAAGACTGAATTAAAAATATTATAAATTCAATTTAGTGACTAAAATGTAAAGTTTACAAGTTCAGAGGACTGCGAACAGGGTTTAACTATTTTATAATTACGCGCATAGTCCTTCCCAAAACGACGTCGTTCGGGAAGGACTATATATGGTCCAAATCGGCTGGCCCGAAGGGCCAGCCATTTCATTTCTTTTTTTTTTCTCTCTCAAGACTGAGAGAGTTTTAAAACTCTCTGCCTTCTCTCTAGCTTCCCTCATCGGAGGGAAGCCGGTCACTGGTCGGCCACCGTGTGCCGCCGTGAATGTCACCGCCGGCCACCGCATCCGGTGGCCGGAAAAAATTATTTTTATACTAATAGATAGATCGGACCGTCCTAAGGACGGTCCCGGTGTTCTTTTCCCTTAAAAAGCTCCTAATCGGAGCGAATCTACAAAAATACCTTCGATGTTTCGAAGGTTCTGACGAGATCCGGTGGTCGAGGCTTCCTCGGTAAGGCTCTTCTTCCTTTTTCTTTTTTTTTTCTTCTGGTTTTTGTGCTGCTGAGATCGTTGGTAATAGTTTATATCTTCTCTGTTTTTTTTTCTGTCTCTCTCTCCTTTTTTTTGTCTCTCTGTTTCGTTCTCTGTCTCTGTCCTTTTTTTTTCTTTGGTTCTGTCTCGGTTTTTCTGTCTCTCTGGTTTCTTTCTTCGCAGATGGGGTGGTGGCTTTTATAGCCACCACCGTTGTAGCTGTCGGACCGGTCCGAAGAAGGGCTCTCGGTGAGTCACCGGACTACCAGTGGTGACTCACCGAGTAGCCATGGCGTGGACGGCTGGTATTCTATCTTCTGGAGTCTTCGGTTGGGACGTGGCAGCGGCGGAGGCGGTGAGGAAACTGTCGGCAGCCGCGTGGAAGCTAGGGCGGCGCCGCGTGGCCCTAGGGTATCAAACCCTAGGGTTTCCCTCTGGAACCATCTGGACCGTTGGATCTTGCCAGATCCAACGGCTGTGAGCTGAGGCGGCTGGTTAAATTAGGGTTAGGAAACCCTAACTGGAAACCCAAATATTTAGGGTTTCTGGTTGGATTTGGACCGGTTCTGGTTGGTTTGTAACTGGGTCGGTCCAGTTGTAATTGGTCTGTAATTTATATATGTATTTAATATATTTAATAATAATAGTAATAATGATAATAATAATAATAATAATAATAATAATAATAATAATAATAATATGGATAAAAAAATTAGTATCTTCAGCTGCCCCTCTTTGCTCATTCTTGTGTTAACAAGAATAGGGCAAAGATGAAAAGATAATAAAATTTTTTATCCATTTGACTTTACTTTGATCACAATGGAGATATTGAATAAATTCTTCTCTCTCTCCAAATAAGTTCTTCTTATTATGAACTTTCTGCTGGGGATAATGATGACCTCCTTTCTGTGATAGAGTCATTCAAAAGGTTGAATAAGCTCTTGATGAGTTCTTCTCATTATGAACTTTCTCTAGAAAGGCTGATGTTAATCTATCTCCTTCTGTGATAGAATTATGCCAAAAGTTGAACAAGTTCTTCTTATTATGAACTTCTTCTTTCTTCTTCAGATGCGTTCTTCTCATTATGAACTTTCATCTGGAAAAGCTGATCCATTAAATGATGGATTCATATAAAAGGTTGAACAAATTCTTCTCATTATGAACTTCTTCTTCCTTCTTCAGATGAGTTCTTCTCATTATGAACTCGAACTGGAAAAGATGATCCACCAAATGATGGATTCAGGTAAAAGGCTGAACAAATTCTTCTCATTATGAACTTCTTCTTCCTTCTTCAGATGAGTTCTTCTCATTATGAACTCGAACTGGAAAAGATGATCCACCAAATGATGGATTCAGGTAAAAGGTTGAACAAATTCTTCTCATTATGAACTTCTTCTTCTTCTTCAGATGAGTTCTTCTCATTATGAACTCGAACTGGAAAAGATGATCCACCAAATGATGGATTCAGGTAAAAGGTTGAACAAATTCTTCTCATTATGAACTTCTTCTTCCTTCTTCAGATGAGTTCTTCTCATTATGAACTCGAACTGGAAAAGCTGATCTTTCAAATGATAAATTTGAATCTTTGCTAAAATTTTTGAAATTCCTGTTAGAAATTCAACAAAAATGAATGAAAATGCATCTATTTTTGCAAATGCCTAAATATGATGCATGAATATTAAGTTGTTTGATTTCAGACGGGTGAATTGAGTATTTCTTCAATTGTAAAAACCCAATATATCTGTCTTCTTCAAATCAAAGAATCTATCATCTTTGACAAATGTAGATGTAGATATAATGTCACAAAACCTCTTGAGAATAAAACTCAATAGTATAAACTCTTGAAAAGCTTGCATTCTGGCAACATGTTGATTCTGATAACAACTCATCTGATTATGAAGTGACCTTTCAAGATGATTTCACAGATATCGATAGTTCTTTTAATACCGAGAAATCTTGAATTCTGAGGAGAATAAACTGTTATACTTGACAAAAATGAGATTCTCATGGGCTGAAAAATAGCCCTGAAGAAATGTGGTCCAGATTCATCAATTGCAGAATTGGCAAATTTTATATATGCTTCTCAAATGACTAAGGCTGCTGATGCACTTCTTCTGGTAAAAAATAGGAAGTCATTATGCAATGATCCCAATTACAAGCAAAGGCGAAACTTGGGCTATGTTTTTTTTTGAAAAGGAAGAAGCAGAGGAAGCTTGAAAAGAAGCTTCTTAATGAAGATAATCATGCAGTTCATCTTTCAATTCCAACGATTGGTTCTGGGGTTCCTACTGAATCATATCAGATAACTCAAAGAACACTTCCAGAAGATGCTATGAACACATTCATCTTTTAAACTCAATGATTGTTCTGTCAAATCAGATCAGATAACTCAAAGAACACTTCCAGAAGATGCTATTGGCACATTCATCTTCCAAATTCAATGATTGGTTTTGTCAAACCAGATCAGATAACTCAAAGAACACTTCCAGAAGATGCTATGGAGCACATTCATCTTCCAAATTCAATGATTGGTTTTGTCAAACCAGATCAGATAACTCAAAGAACACTTCCAGAAGATGCTATGGAGCACATTCATCTTCCAAATTCAATGATTGGTTTTGTCAAACCAGATCAGATAACTCAAAGAACACTTCCAGAAAATGCTATTAACACATTCATCTTCTAAATTCAATGCTTGATTCTGTCTAATCAGATCAGATAACTCAAAGAACACTTCCAGAAGATGCTATGGAGCACATTCATCTTCCAAATTCAATGATTGGTTTTGTCAAACCAGATCAGATAACTCAAAGAACAATTCCAGAAGATGCTATTAACACATTCATCTTTTAAACTCAATGATTGGTTCTGTCTAACCAGATCAGATAACTCAAAGAACACTTCCAGCAGATGCTATTGAGCACATTCATCTTCTAAATTCAATGCTTGATTCTGTCTAATCAGATCAGATAACTCAAAGAACACTTCCAGAAGATGCTATTGAGCACATTCATCTTCTAAATTCAATGCTTGATTCTGTCCAACCAGATCAGATAACTCAAAGAACACTTCCAGAAGATGCTATTGAGCACATATAAAAGGTTGAATTGTTTATAAACATGTACAGGAAGTGCCAAATTGACAGAAAGGATCTGTAAGGCTTTTGAAGCTTATGGTAATGAGACACCTTCGAGTGTCCAGAAGTATGTTCTTGATGAGTGCTGAAAATGGAATTTAGTATGGGTTGGAAGGAATAAAGTTACTCCACTTGAACCTGATGAGGTGGAAATGCTTCTAGGTTTCCTTAAAGACCATACACAAGGATCTGTATAGAAACATATTTCCCAGTGATATCAATGTCTTGTTTCCTTTTGTTGGAATTAGTGCTGCAAAGATCACCTTCTATTGTCTTGGTATATTTTTGAAAACAGATGTGCAAGAACTGAATGGTGATCGGTTGGAGCAATTGATGAGTAGATTTGGCGGA